AAATATTAAGAAATGACATTGTTGTTATTGTCTCCAACAAAGAAATGGACATTAAGCTATTTGCCGTGAAGAGAAACAGAATGATAGAATACGTGATCAAGATGAACACTATTGGCAATACTGACAGCATAATTCAAAAACAATAACCTAAACAGCGATGTTGTCAATATGTTCAGTTTTCCTATCATTTATACTAAATTTGTTAATATCTGCTCCTTATGCCGAGGTATTTGAAGTATTTACGATTTATCACTTCCATATCCTGAATTTTTATGATGGCTTCAGGTTATGTACCTTCATTGTTTTCATTCCAATTTCAGATCACAGTTTGTTTTGTAAAGGTTTATCTTGAGTCTTACTTCTTGGACCACTTGGTAAAGAATGTTGATTTCTTTTTTTTTTCTTTTTTTTTTTTCGAGATTATTTCATCCTAAATAGTAATGCCTATGTTATCAACATAGGCATCAACAACTTTAGTAAACTAGACTCAGAAGGAAAATCATGTCGTTATATGTTAATAGATTAATTTGGATGTGATATGGAATGCTTCAATAATCAGGACCCATCTCTTCTCATCTGTGCTTGTATATGATTGTATAGAGATTAAATAAATCGGGGTTTTATTTACGCCTTGTAATTACGATGTGGTTTGCATTGATTCTTTAGCGGTAGAGGGTCAGTAAAATGTTTCACGATTATAAACAGCCTACAGGATAAAAAGAAATAATCCAGAATAAATTAAACAATATTTACATTATTCGGACTATTGTTCTCATCTTTGTCGCCATATTTATTACAACGTTTCGGTCGTTGTGCGCTCCTGACTTCTTCAGGTGGTTGGAATGTCGAACTGAACCCTTTATTTCGCTCACTGGGGTAGACTGCTCATAGGAGTACTGGTAAAAAATGATAAACATTAGTTTATACTACCCCTAAACTCATATACAAATGTCCTCAAGGACACATGGCTCAGTGGATAAATGCTTTGGTTAGATCCAGTGACAGGACCCAGAGAGTGAGTTCAATACCTAGTTAAGGCAATGAGGACTTGCAGAGGGGAATTAACAGGAGATAACCGACACAGCACGTGGAACTAGAACAGTCTACCCCAGTGGGCGAAATAAAGGGTTCAGTTCGACATTCCAACCACCTGAAGAAGGCCGGAGCGTACAACGGCCAAATCGTTGTAATAAATATGACGACAAAAATGAGGACAATAGTCCGAATAATGTAAATAGTGTACATAATGTTTAATCTCAAAAATATAGACAGATACTGAAAGGCCGAAACGTTGTACTAAATATAGCGACAAAGATGAGGAAAATATTCCAAATAATGTAAATAGTGTGCTTAATACCTCATCTCAGAAATATAGACAGATAATAAATTAAACAATTTTATACTTTATTACTTCACCTAATAAAACAAGAGTACAAAATAAAGTTCTGGGTTGGTATTAATCGTGAGGAGAATTTAATGAATTTAATGAATCTAATTGAAAATGTTTACCTGCGTGTTAATTAAAAATACAGATTAATTTCGGATTGGTATTTTTTTTTTTCAAACAGACATTTCCTATTTCTTTTCTTGATGCAAATTTTTCTCTCCTTTCTTTACTCTGTAAATAAAACCTGAGAAAATTCAATGAAGATAATTAAAGGAATTCTTTTTTTTATTCTACGGTCTAAATTGATAAAATGTCTGCTTCCCATTTTAGATTAAACTCTTCTGGATGGAATTTGTTTGATATGATTGAAATAGCCAACATCAGAAGTTAATTTCATTGCTGTTTCGTTGTTCAATATCAAAAGAATTGTTCAATAAAACTTCTGCACGTTTCTGAGTTCAACTTGCCTGTTCGATAGAAGTGCAAAGCACCAAGAAAGAAAACCTTAACGTCTGATCTATTGAGATATATTCTACAAGGTTATTTTAGGATTATCGTTCACTTCAATTCATCCTGATTCTCTAACATTACAGTCTAAGACTTCCAGGCTTTTATCATCATTTTCCACATTGTATGCACAGCAATATTTTGATCTTTTATTTTAGGTTGATAAATATAAACCTTCTTCAGTATCTGTCTATATTTCTCAGATGAGGTATTGTGTACACTATTTACATTATTCGAAATATTGGCCTCATCTTTGTCGCCATATTTATCACAACGTTTCGGCCCTTCAGTATCTGTCTATATTTCTGAGATGAGGTATTATGTACACTATTTACATTATTCGGAATATTGGCCTCCTCATCGTCGCCATATTTATTACAAAGTTTCGGCCGTTGTACGCTCCGGTCTTCGTCAGGTAGCTGGAAAGTCGAACTGAACACTTTAGTTCGCTCAGTGGGGTAGACTGTTCTAGTTTCACGTGCCATATTTAATGGATGTAAGTTATCAGTTATCTCCTGTTAATTCCCCTCTCCAAGTTCTCCATTGCCTTAACCGGGTATTGAACTCACACTCTTTGGGTACTTTCACTGGATCTAACCAACGCCTTTATCCACTGTGCCATGTGTCCTCAAGTTTAAGTTCAGTATCTGTCTATATTTCTGAGATGAGGTATAATACTTCATGTATACTATTTACATTATTCGGACTATTGTTCTCATCTTTTTCGCTAGATTTATTACTAAGTTTCGGCCGTTGTACACTCCTGCCCTTCAGGGTTCAGTTTGACATTCCAACCAGCTGAAGAAGGTCGGACCGTACAACGGCCGAAACGTTGTAATAAATATGGCGACAAAGATGGGGACAATAGTCCGAATAATGTAAATAATGTTCTTCCGAAATCCATTACAGTTGGCAAACCCTCCCCCACCTTACAGTGGCAATGTTGTAAAAGGCCAGAAAATTAAATCTCTCCACATCCGTCAATATTTCCGAGATAATGTATTATAACTATTTACACTATTTTAATTACGTCCTGGGTATAACGATAAACTACATCCACGTCCTGGGTAAGACGATAAACTACATCCGACCTCAAGGCCTCTGATCAGGAGGTTTTGAGGAGCGTGGAACCACCGCTTATTTTTCCGGCTGGTAGCACCTGTTAGGGTCCCAACTATGGGCAAATAGTTAACCTCCAAACTAGAGTCAAAACACTATGAAAGTGTAAACATAGGTTTTAATACCAGCAATACGTTTTTGAATTTTACAGCTATGAATTTTACAGCAAAACATTGGAAAAAAATATTTCCACTAATCAGTTAGTTATTTGCCATATGTGATACACGCTTAGGCGATCATGTATCTTTCGATACATGACTGACAAGGCAGTTTTTTTCTCGCAGTAGAACCAGTTGCTATCCAAGACTATAGAACACGGTTTGTCCTGCTATTTACCCATAGCTCGTGGGTGGGGAAGGATAGGATTCATACCTTTCCCAAGAGTATTAGCACGTAAGTGAATGTAATGGATTCGACTGGAATTCGAACTCTGCTCTCCGATTCCTCAATCCGAGCCGTTATCCATTACTCCACCATGCCTCCCTATTGCTTATCAGCAATACATTTTGGAAAAGAAATATTACTAGTAATGAAAATCTTGTCGGCATTAAATAACCTATTGAGGTTGATTATGCTATAAATCAAACCAAACCAAACTATTTTGATTATTCGAACTGTTGTCCTCATCTTTAATGTCACGTTCACAACTTTTCGGTCCTTGTACGCTTCGACCTTCTTCAGGTGATATTTGTTGGAATTTCGAACCGAACCCTGAAAATTTCTATGGCGTATTCGCTCCGCCAAGGGTATTTTTCCTTGACTTTTATCAGTGATCTTTCTTTTGATTCTATAGAGCCTGACCATTAGCTCACCTTTCGTCCTGTTATTTCTTTTATTCTCTTGAGCATATTTGCTATATTTGTGTGGCTCATTCTTTCTGTTTCTACACACTTTTCATTGAGCCATTCCTCTATAGCACTCTTAGATTTCTTTTTAATTTCATGTGTTTAGCGCTCGGCATTCTTTTCTATTTCTCATCATTGTTTGTTGCCCTTTTTCATTATCTCTAGAATATCCTGTTATCCACTCCTTTTGCCTCATTTTCCTTGAGATTGTCGCTCAACATGTTCCACTTTGATTGGGTAGCCTCCTTCGTTTTTAAATCTATTTTTGTCTCCTTGCAATTTGGACCCTTCCGGTGTCTGTTACCCTGCAATTTAGACGTTGCTTTTGTCTGATCTAGGACACAACTAGATGATGGTCGCTCCCGCTGTTGGCACTTGTGTATTTTTTGCAGTGTAGCACTGCGTAACGGGACCTTTTGCTGATAGTTACATAATCAGTCTGGTTCTTTGTGACTCCTCCTTGTCTCCTCAAATCAGATATTAGTAATTCTTCGATTGTTTGCTTTGCACTACCTTCGCCGAGCTCGTTGTGGAATCCTAGTTCTCATTTGCCAACTATTTCGCTTTCTCGTTCTTTTCCTATATTGGCATCCTGGTCTCCCGTGATGATAGCAATATCTTGTGTTTTATATAGAGCCTTGGCGTTGCCTAGGGAGTTGTACAATTTATCGATTTCCTCTTCCGTGCTTTGCGTTGTCGGTGCATATACAACAATAATTGTTATGTTAAAGGTCTTCTCCTTCAGTTAAACTAACATGATTCTGGCTGAGATTTGGAAATTGGTGTCGCTTAAAAGAAAAATTATCTTTCAGGTATTTACACCTAAAGCCTCCTCTGTCGTCGCCGGTTTAGTTGAGAGGTCAACTTCTCTCTATAAGAAATTCAACAGCTACCAAAACTCATCAGTTTTTCCTTTGGGTGTAATTTTTATTCCTTCCTGCTTCAGTTTATTTGATGTCATTCCGTTTTTATTTATATAAAACTTTATTTTCCTTTATTTGTTCACACATAGCTGCATTTAATGCCTTCGTCTAATTTGTCATGATCGCTGTCGAATTTTTTAAAGTGAGAAGTCTTTTTAACTTGTAACTTGAAAGAAAAAAATGAAACCTTCTTCTTCGATATGCCTGAAGCTTACTGCAATATCACGTTGAAAAATTAGTTCTCATACGATCACCAAAGTTAAGCAATGTCGTGCCTGATCAGTACCTAGATGGGTGACCGCTTGGCAATACCAGGTGCTGTAAGCTTATAATGTGCGGGTGGTGTAGTAGATAATATTTGGAAATCCGAGAGCCGAGTTCCAATTGTAATCGTATTCGTTATATTCCCTTACGCGTAAATAAAATTGGGAAAGGTATTAATCAACGCCTCTTCCTCCAGCTATGCTTTAATTAGTAGGAATTCTATCAATAAATCATTATCTCCAAAAACTTCTTAGAATCTAAAATTATTTTCTGACTTTAAATAATCTGCAAAGGATTGATAAGCTATAAAAAAAAACACAAATTAGTCAAACGATCTGCCTGTAACTGTACAAGTAAATATAAGTATGCCTATATTTAAACTGTTTACATTATTCGGATTGTTGCCCGCATCTTTATTGCTATATTCACAACGTTTCGGTCATTGTAAGCTCCGGCCTTCTTCTTCTCAATACGTTGGAATTTCAAACCGAACTCTTTATTTAATCCCCAGGGATAGATTGTTCTCGTTCTACGTGCCATGCCTTTTCTGGATATCTCTTTTTCAGTTATTTCCTTTTAGTAACTCAACTCTCAGTTTTTGTTCTCAAGAACACATAGACCAGCGGATAACATGAGGTAATCCAAAAGTGATTTGACCCAAAGAGTTGTGAGTTCAATCCCTGGCCAGAGCAGAGGTGAACAAAAACTTGGAGAGTGGAGTTACTAAAGGGAATTAACTGGAATTAAAATATCACAATCTACAATCGAGAGCAATCTACCCCCTCCCCGTGGACAAAATAAAGGTTCGATTCGAAATTCAGCGTATATCACCTGAAAAAGGCCAGAACGTACAATGGCCGAAACGTCATGATTATGACAGTAAAGAGAAGGACAGCAGACTGAATAGTGTAGTTATAGCACCTCATCTCAGAAATAGACAGAAGTAAATATTTTTTTTATTTATTTATTACTTAACCATAAAGTGAATTTAGGTAAAAATGGTACAACCAATTTTGCATGCTACTTCATTATACTAACTCACGTAAATTCCACCCTCAAAACTTAGCACCCCACCTGTCACTGACTGTGTGTGTATTGTAGAGTTTATTTATGAACAACTGGAAGGATGGCTTGGAAAATTTGATACTCACAAGATTAAATGTAAGAGAGACAAAGGAAAGAAAAACAGAGCCGACCTGACGAGGTTGTGTGAATGAATGGTGGAGCAGGTTTTGGAAGAAATGGTCAAAAAAAAATAAAAATTGTTATGTGCTACAAAGGACAGGATATTGTGGAGAGCTATGATCGCTAACGTCCTGAAGAGATGCGTCGCATAAAAGAGAAGCCGACATGTCCTAACCTTTTGGCAAAAAAAGAAAGTGAAAAAACAAATGTACCTTTCGTCTGACTAATCAAAAATTGGTGCAGGATAAGCTTATTTTTCAGCCAATCAGTTTTGAATCAACCAAACAGATTGTAATATTAACCCATATAAATAACTTACAATAACATAATAATTATTCCGTTCAGTACAATTATAAATAAACAGATACTTTCATCAAAGGGGGTCATGTCTGGTTTCACCTCTTCTTAAGCGATGCATATCAGTCAGTTACGTGACTAATGAGGCAGATTTTTTTCCCTGCCGTAGGTTGCCATTTCTTTCTGCGGTAGACCAATTGCCATCCAAGGCTACAGAACCCGGTCTGTCCTGCTATTTACCTATAGATGGGGAGAGAAGAAAAGTATTCATACCTTTCACAAGGGTATTAGCACATAAGTGAATATAATGGATTCGACTAGAATTCAAACTCGGTTCTCCGTTATCTCATTTCTCGACGCCATAAGTTACACCACCCGCACATCCTCTCCAATGAAATGGAGGCAGTAGCAGCAGTAGAGTAATATTTCAATGAACAAACAGTCACTCAGTTATGTGCCATGAGTGATACACGCTTAGGCGATCATGTATCTTTCGATACGTGACTGACGAGGCAGATTTTTCCGCAGTAGGTTACCACTTCTTTCTGTGGAGGACTAGTTGCTATCCAAGGCTATAGAACCCGGTCTGCCCTACTATTTACCCATACCTGGATGAGAAGAGGATCAATACATTTCCCACGGGTAATACCAAGTAAGTGAATGTAATGGATTCTACTGAAATTTGAAAGCGATGTATATAATGACTCTTTTATAAATAGGTAAAAATGTCACAAATAATTTTGCATGTTATTTCATTATACTAATTCATGTAAATGCCACCGTCAAAACTTAACACCCAACCTCTAGATCTGTCACTGACTGTGGAAGTATTGTAGATTTTGTTTGTGAACAACTGGCATCATGATTAATAATTACTTGAAACTTTCTCCTAGATTAAACCGATGATTGATTATTTTGCTATCAGCGTTAAACAGAAACTGAGTGAAAACTGAATTAATTCAATTGATTCTTTTTTTATTTAAATTTCTAGAAATTAACTGAAATCTAATGTAAAAGGGGAAGTTAAGAGAAGTAATATATTTTGCTTAAAGTTGATACTTTTTTTTTTATTTTAAACGTTTTCAAATGTGATTCGGTAAAGAGAAATTAGAATTACTAAGAGTTTTATTGAATTAAATGGCTAATATTTTTTGTCTTTACAAAACTTAATAAAGCGTCATCTCAGAAGTCATCTCCCTTGTATTTATTCCCCTGCTAATCTGGTTGACACCGAGCAAACATAGACTTTTCTATAATTTCTAATTCACTGACTTAAGATATTTTTTTTAAATTTGTCTTTTCAAGGTATGATGTATGATTTCAGAAAACCAGTGGAATTAAGTAAATATTTATTCCAACTCAATAGATTGTAGCGGAATTTACCACTATTTCATTTGCATTGAATGAAGATAACAAAATGAAGTCGTCGCTTGGCCGACATTAGTCTTGCTGAAATAGGTATTAAGCAGATAAGCTTAATCTCTAACTCTCTACTCTTTCTCCTGACGATTCTTGGCGTCAATTTATATATATTTGGATGAGTCCAACTCCTTTTCTGGAGACGTCTGTTCACCTCAACGACACACACCTTTTTAGATGTGCATTTTATTTAGTCGATACATTTTCTGACATGGGTCCACTTCCTATGTTTAAATCGGATTACGTTTTAGCTTACCTTAACGTTGTATTGTAATTTCAGTTTTAGGAATTGGTACTTATTGTATGTATATTTAGACCTTAATTTGTATCTCCTATCATAACTTTCAAAGTTCGCATATCAAATCATTTTGAACGCGCCACCTAATTAGCAAGTGATATGTTGCCTTACGGGACAACGCGTGGATGTTGGAGAGGCCATTCGTCGCTTGTAAGAGAAGTTTTAGGGCAATCTGACATTCATGATAGGAGCGCTCGAATGGGCAGTAAACAGTGGAGGTGGCTCCTCGTCGCATGAGTGAACACTTCCCAGGGATGGGAAGTTCTTACGGGCGTCGTTCTTTCAGAATTCGACATTCCATTCCGGTTGTGAATGCGTTTAGTGTAGTAAGGCGACGCGAAGTGGAGTCTATGTTGATGAATCCGAAAGCTAGGTATACCCAGACTGCCTTCAGATTGGTAACAGATCTCCCCATATACCTTGGGAGACTTGTTTCGCAGCAAGAATGAGAACAAGACCCTATTTATGTTAGTATAGGATACGGGGCTGGAAGCACGGAGAGCCAGTAGAGGAGAATCGGGTAGATGTGTGAAGCACATACTTCCGCCTTTTCCTTTAAGGAAAAATTGCTCCGGGTCTACAGACTGCTGTGAACTCTACCTTCTCCCGCACCTCCGACCAATTCATTTCCAACAGAAGATCGGGACCGAACCAGACGTTGAGTAACCTGACCGATCCGTCTGTCCAGAAGAATGGCTCTGGAAGAGAAACTCTCTTCCACGTTCCCAACCGCAATCCAACAGACATCACGGTTGATCTTGGCCTCTGTCACCGTCTCGAACCCTCTGATCTCATTGCCGACTTCGTCAATGTCAGCTCTGCTCGACACAAAAATCGAAACGTTGTCAGCACAGGCAGAAGAATACTTGACCGAGCTGGTAGCACCAAGTACGGAATTTTGCTTAGAACCGGATTCGCGTTTAACTTGCGGAGGAAAGGCTCCAACGCAAGAACGTAAAACAAAGGCGAAAGCGGACAACCTTGACGAATGGAGCGAGACAACATGAAAGGCTCCGATCTCACTTCATTCACTTCTACCAGCGGGGAACGCATACAAAAGTTGGATCCTGGTACAAAATTACGACCCGAAACCGGTTTCTACAAGAACAGCCTCCAGAAACCGATGGCTAACACTATCGAAATCTTTGGACCGATCTAAATTGATCAGTGCTGTTTAACTGTCAACTGGCTCGATGATCAAGTGTACCAAATGAAGGTTGTCCTGAATAGTCCTGCCTTTCACAGCACAAGTCTGCTCGGAGCCGATCAGACGAAAGAGAACAGTCTGCAAACGGCTGGTTATGGTCTTCGCTAAAATCGTCAACTCTGTGTTTAACACGATTAAAGGCCGAAAACTGCCTTTTTTGTCCTTACGTAGTAACCTAGTCAGTGCCCTGGTGAAGCATTGAGCAATAGACCCCTTCTTCCAATTGTTGTAGATCAGCTTCAGCAAAGGAACAAAGACGGACGATTGCAGTTCGCGCGGAAGACCATCGATTCCCGGAGTTTTGTCTCGGCCAACGAGCTTCAACGCTTCCCAGATGTCAGATTCTGTATTGGGACTCTGGCACTCAGCCGCTTCAGCCTCGTCGAGGCAGGGAAAGTCGGCCAAATAGGCGTCGAACAGAGCCGCTCTCAGCGCGGGCTCCCAAGTGAAAGTAGTTTCGAAAAGTCTCACATATGCCCGCGTTTGTAGTCACGGTTCGCTTCTCTGGTAATGTGATTCTCGCGATATGTCGATTGGACGCCTTTCCAACTTCCTCTGCGCGCAAATCAGCGTCCGTATCCGTCGCATCGGAAGACATTCTATTTTAACCTAGTCCTAACTACCATACCTTGATATTTCTTGATAAGCAAGGCGC